TTACTCTCATACCCAGGACTGAAACTGCATCAACCTGGGCTGCCAATGCAGACAGCAGCAATTAAGAGGTGGTTCCATGCTCCACAAAACCTCCAACCTCCCAATCAGAGGCCTTGCCTGCTCGATGTAGTTTTTCTTCAAAACCAGGACTAACATAGACTCATCCACTAATGAGTAGGACATATTCCCATAAGAACGGTGTGCAAATTGGTCACAAAGGTGTAGTGTTGAGATGTATGCATTATCACTCTAAATACGGTATTCACTTTTATTGTATTATTAATCCATGTCCTTCATGTGATTAAACCTTTTCTTCACTAATCTTTTGTTCCAGTGCTTTCCTTGCAATATTATTAACCAGAATCGCAAACTTATAAGAGCATTATAACAGTCACGAAGACACAATGTGTTCCTGAGAGTGAAAGAATACAAAAAAAGAAAAACAGTTTTAAGGAGCAAAACAATTAAAGAAGAGTCATCAAGAAGACAGAGGATAATGTTTGACATCAAATTTAAATTTTTGAAGATCAAAAATGACAGGAAATCAAGAAGCCAGAAGAGAGTTCTGTAAGTGAAAAGTATGAGAGGAAAAAAACTGTGAGTAGTGAACTTATAGTTACATCTAGCCATTTCATCTGTGAAATGATGAGACCTAACTGCCAATCTAGTACTGCAGTTAAATTCGTAAAGTCAGAGTACCAAAGTGGAAAGCTCATCAAAACAATTACCATGAAAATACTTATAGAAAAATTCAGTGAACAACATTTCAATCTTTCTTTTATGGGCTATGTTCCATCAGAACATAGGCGATCATGGCCATCCACTTCCTTGTAGCTCATTATACATTTTTTCTTTTTGCTACTTCTCCCAAACGCTCTTCTGCCATCCATTTGCTCAAACCCATCAAGTATGTTACATGCTGCTTTCCTCTGTCCTTTATATGTTCTGTGAGGATCAAATTTTTCAAGCCTTCTTCCTCATTACATGTCCCAGAAATTTTGACTGCCTCTTCTTGATGTTAAGTATAAGTTTCTTCTTCATTTCCATTCTCTCCAAAACCTCATTATTGCTCACATGTTCGGTCTATGATATTCTCAGCATTTCTTTTGAAGAGATTGTCCAGCATTCGCTGCCATACAGGAGGACAGATATCATGGAACAGTTCAGTACTCTTTTCTTTGTTTCTAAGGAAATTTTTCTGTCTTTTAATACTCTGTTTAGCTTTTGGAATTCATCTTTGGCCATCCCAAGACATTTTCAGATCTCAGTGTCACACTTTCCATCCTCATAGCATTTATCTAACATTTCAGTACATTTCCTTTATAGAAGGTATAAAGGTTTCCTACAAAGCACATTAAATATTTAAAGTTAATCTTTATAGATGTGCAAGATTAATGCAATATTTGGTGTTGCTGCGACGAAAAATAATAATTTTTTGCAAAATTTTTGTATTATTATAGATTAAGCTCTCCAGATAATGAATATCCCACTAAAAATATTTTTTAATTAAATCTTATAACAGTTACTGACAGGGCCAAAGCATACTATCCCTAAACGCTCTTGACTGGTGGGCAAGTCTGATTGAGGACCCTGGGCAGTGCCTTGTGACCTTCACTATCTTATCAGCATTTGCTTTATTCTACTTACATTTATATACGTTACAAATTTAATGAAGCACAACTGACTATTAAAGGATGAAAAATTTTTTGCAGATTTTGATGTCATCCTGGGGTCTTATTTTTGTCGCAATCTGTGAATTTGTTTTGCTCATGTTAAGTCTTGAAAAAAAAACACTATATAAAATTCACTTTTTTTTTCATCCACAATGTTGAATGTGTTAAAATTATTCAACTTTTTAAGAAGAAAAATTGCAAGTTGATGTTAAAAATTACTGCAAAACATTGTTGATTTTTTAAAGATGAAATGATTTATTATGACATGTCTCTAATTGGTATTTCAATACATTGTATTTATTTTCAATTTTTCTAGTTGAATTGTCTGCCTACATTGCATATGATCCATTATTGCACATAATTAGGCTATAATAAAATTTGTATTTTATATGAATACTACCTTATGACAAATGAGATGTTGTAGAAAGGGGGTCCCTGTATCATAGATTCAAAAGGGCCTGTATGATAGATTGGAAGGGGTATGAGACCTTTGCACAGGCCCTGGTTAATAGGGAGATTCAGTTTGTTGTGTAAATGCAATGTAAATTGATCCCCACTATAGAAACCAAAACAAAATATGCTCATATGCTATGATATTGTCGGAGTTACCTCCTCCTTGGCTCCTTAAACCGGAAAAGAAACAGGTCATTTCTTGTGCTCCCTACATGCTGTTAACCCGAGGTAGAGACTAGCAAGTTACCTTTTCAGTTTAGTTATATTATGAACCTAGTTGTAATATACTTCTAGGCATTTTTAAGCTTTGGTTTTCTTTTAGCTAAGCTCTACTCATTTTTTAGATAGACTTTACTGTGTTAACTTACCAATTCTCTTGCTAGTCTCACTTACCACAAGACAGTGACTTCTCGCTAAATTTGAGGTCGGCAACTGAAACAGTCGGTATGCAGGCTCCTGGCCTCCGTGGCCAGGACGTTGACCACCGGGCTGTGTATTAAGTTACGCTCCCATTTCTTTTTGTCTGCCAACTTGATGATAGTTGGAAACTTTCCTTCTCTCTCTCCTTCACCTCTTGCTTCTGGCTCCTTGTCAATGTTCAACTCGCGACATTCCGTCCCTACTGGCTGCCTGCACGTCGTCCATAACCTTTCCCGTACACTATGTTTGTAACTATTACGGGAGGTTACTAATATCAGACTCGACCAGCAGACACGCAATGCCTGCACTGGACTTTTGATATGCCCGAACAACATTGCAACGCCAGCTTCTCTTTCCTTCCCAACACGTCAAGTTGGCATCCCGGCAATGACCAACATCAACCTCAAACTACAATGACCAGCAGCGATTATCTGCAACAACCGACATCAACTTCAACTACAGCGATCATCTCTGCAGCGACCACCTGCATGACTAGCGACGATCACCTGTAACGACACCTGTAACAACCAACCTCGACCATCAATGCCTGCACCAGAATGTCTGCCTCTCTACTGTTCCGACCACCTTTATTTCTTTATTACTTTTCTAGAATAAATTAACTTATATCTTATATATCCTTGTTCTGTCGTCTATGTTGTTTCACCTTGTCAGATTTAACGTCTTCGAAAATGCTAGCGGGCCTCTCATGACCTTATCACCCTTTTATGATACTGGGGGTGCTCGAGGGGTCAGTTACAATCTCTTAAAATGTAAAAAAAATAAAAATCACTGAAATTTCTAATTTGAGGTGCATAATCAATCCCAATATATGGAAAAAATACTTAGAAGGATGCCGAGACATGATATAAGCCTCATGAAAAATGAGACAAAATTCTTATTAAAGGGAGGTATCTATTTTGACACAAATTTTGAAAGGAAACTACACTGATAAAGAAAGTAACCTCATTTTCAAATATGGAAATTATCTAATTTCCAAATTTAGAAATTAACTAAATTTTTAAATATAGAAACCAGTGTAATCTTTAATTATGGAGATTAGTCTAATATCCAAATATGGGAAAATTGATAAATGTTTCTGATAACATTTTACTTGATATTGTCTTGTAGATAAAGGTAAGTGGAGATAGACTAACATTTAACAAACCAAGTTCAAATTCCAGTCATATATTTTGTTTGTGATAATACAATTGGAAAAGTCATAAATCTGTTTTCTTTCCTCTGCCTTAGGTGTAATGTATGATGCCCACTAGTGTGATTATGTCTCTTTTTAATTTATAATTGACTTATAATATATAAGATTCTAATGGACATATAGTGGGTGGTCGGTTTCCTATTGTCATTAAATATTAAATCATCCCCCTGGCATGACTAAATATTAATATCCTTCTGTAGGTGCCATACATGATATCCACTTGGGTGATCATGTCTCTTTTTTTGATTAATGCTTGACTTATTCATACAAGATTCTATTGGACATCAAGTGGGGGATCGGTTTCCTATTGTCATTAAGTACTAAAATGACCCCCTTAGAATTACTACTTATTAATATACTTCCATAGGTGCCATCCGTGATTGCTTGGTTGATCAAATCTTTTTTTGATTCATGATTGACATTTACATAATATTCTACTGGACATAAAGTGGGGGATCGGTTTCCTATTGTCATTAAGTACTAAACGGATCACACTATAATTACTACTTATTAATATTTTTCCGTAGGTGCCATGCATGATTGCTTGGTTGATCAAGTCTCTTCAATTCATGATTGACATTCATATAATATTCTACTGGACATAAAGTAGGGGATTGGTTTCATATTGTTATTAAGTACTAAATTGACCCCCTTAGAATTACTACTTATTAATATCCTTCCTTCGTTGCCATGCATGATTGCCTGGTTGATCAAATCTCATTTTGATTCATGATTGACATTCATATAATATTCTGCTGGATATAAAGTGGGTGATCGGTTTCATATTGTTATTAAGTACTAAACTGATCCCCCCAAGAATTACTACATATTAATATCCTTCCTTGGGTGCTATGCAGGATGCACAGTTAGGTGATCATGCGTCTTTTCAATTCATGATTGACATTTATTCTACTGGACGTAAAATGGGAGATCTTTTTCCTATTGTCATTAAGTACTAAACTGATCCTCCTATAATTACTACATATTGATATCCTTCCTTAGGTGCCATGCAGGATGTACACTCGAGCAATCATGTCTCTTTTTTTGATTCATGCTTGACATGGCAGAAGAATTCATGCAGTAGGCTGCTGTTACTTTCTACAATAGACTGGTTGCCAGCCTAGGCTATAGGACTCAATCTGTCCTGCTACTGAGAGTATTTGCACGTAAGTGGAATTTAAACTCAGCTTTCTGATTTCTCATTCCAAGTCGTTATCTATCATGCCACCTGTACAGCCAAACTTGCAGCACTTGATATTCCCAAGTGGTCACCCACCTAGATACTAACCATGCTCAGTGTTGTTTAACTCTGGTGATCAAACGAGAACTGGTCTTTCAATGTGGTATGGACATAAGTCATTCCTCTATAGGTTTTTTTTTTTTTTTAAGTATTTTACCCCAAGCAAGGCAGGAAGTCACTAGTACGCAAGAGGTTACAGAGAGTTGGAGCGAGAGTAAATAGGAGTGATAGAGGAAAGGATGGACAGGGGATAGATCAAGGCATCTGGAGACATTGATTGACATTACATTTGAATAGTTGGAGATTATAGCTGTCAGGGAAACAGGAAGAGGGGAGGGAGTTGCACAGGCGAGAAGTGCAAGGCATGAAGCTATTGGAGTAGAAGAGATGACTACATTTAACAGTTTCGACAGTGAAAGGGTGAGACCAAGATGCCAGCCTAGTTGAATGCTTAAATTTATGAAGTTTGGGGACCAGTGAAAGCAGCTCATTGGAGCAGTTACTGTGAAAGTATTTGTAAAAAAGACAGAGGGTGGCTATGAGTTAAATAGCAAAGTAGACTGGGCACTCTAGCTTTGAATGGTAATCAGTCTAAAAGAGAGACAATTCTGAATTCAAAACCATGGAGAACACAGCAGATAACCATTTGACTCTCTATATGTAGAACAGACATGTGAGTGATCTACTATTCTGAACACCTAGCCATGGAGCCAGATGTGTTGTTCACCCAACAACCACCTACATTGACCAGGTATGTTATAACACAGAATGCCTCCCTAATGACCTTCTGAACCTGATGCAGGATTGTGATGGTTGGTGTGATAGACTCATGAATGTCTGAACTAATTTGACCAAATAAAAGAAAGAAAGAAAAGAGAAACTCTGAGCATCAGTATTCTGAAGAAATATAGTAGTTTAAAAATATTCCCTAATTTTAAACCTCCCATTATTTGTTTTCCCCTTTTCTCCCAATACAAAAATGTGAAAATTTCACAAGAAATCTTCATAAGAATGTGAAGAAAAATGTGAACAAATTAAATGTGAAAAAAATGTGAATTAATTAAATGTGAAGAAAAATGTGAACAAATTAAATGTGAATAATAATGTGAATTAATTAAATTTGAATAAAAATGTGAACAAATTAAATGTGAAGAAAAAATGGTGAATTAAATGTGAAGAAAAATGTGAACAAATTAAATGTGAATAATAATGTGAATTAATTAAATGTGAATAAAAATGTGAACAAATTAAATGTGAAAAAAATGTGAATTAATTAAATGTGAAGAAAAATGTGAACAAATTAAATGTGAATAATAATGTGAATTAATTAAATTTGAATAAAAATGGGAACAAATTAAATGTGAAGAAAAAATGGTGAATTAAATGTGAACAAATTAAATGTGAAGAAAAATGTGAATTAATTAAATGTGAAGAAAAATGTGAACAAATTAAATGTGAAGAAAAAAATAATTCCTTTTAGGGTTTCTGGAATGGCTTGACTTTTAATATTATAGAAAAAAATTCTGAAATTTACAGGTATTAGTTTGAATGAGAAGTAATTCCATTTTGCACCTTTTTTCAGGAAGTAGGCAATCAAGGCTCTCTACAATTTCCTTTTTTTTATTCTATGAATTGCTATAACATTTTTGGAAAGATAGTGGTGTGGTTTCCCACTGTTATTTGCATGGCCATCCTGGGTATGATGATAAACTTATCTGGTAGCAAGTCCTCTGATTGGGAGGTTTTGAGGAGCATAGAACCACCTCTTAATTGCTGTTGTTCCAAGGTTCACCCTGACTTGAGGTGGTAGCACCTGTTAGGATCCTAGCTATGAGCAAATAATTAACCTTCAAACTGGGGTCACAAAAGTATAAACATTTTCATAGTAAAAGTACCAGCAATAAATTCTCATAATAAAAAATTACCAGCAATACATTTTTGTAAAAAAAAAAAATAGCCAGCAATAAATTACTAATGCTCCTAAGAAAATTAAATTTTGGTATTAAATGATCCATAAGGAATTGGTAAGCCTCTAAACAAACATTCTTCTACATGGTTTGAAATTCAAAATTTTCCTTCTAAACTGGATGCTATCCAAGGTTAGGGAACACAATCATACTTATTATAAAACCCAGGTTGTGTGTGTGTGTGTGTTCGTTTATATATTGGATCGGATTTCCTATGTTTTTCAACCGATTTCAACAAAACTTCACAGGACTATGTAAGATTACCTTGCGGTGGTTCTGACAGTGCCAAAAATTGGAAAAACATAAATGTTTTTGCATGAAATCAATTTGAAAACACAATTAAAAGGCATCGCTGTCGCGAAAATGAAAGGGGGGACAACTCATATCGAGTTATACTTATTATAAAACCCAGGTTGTTTGTGTGTGTGTGTGTGTGTGTGTTCATTTATATATGGGATCGGATTTCCTACATTTTTCAACCAATTTCAACAAAACTTCACTTTTTTTTTGGCAGGTAGTGTTTCTTATTGTCTTGCAAACTTGTTTCTTTATTTTTACATTCAGAATGCTTTAAAAATTCCATTTACAAGACAATTGTTTATAATAAAATTCTATTCAATCGGTAGACTCATAACGTTTGAAAACAATGTTTTTGTTTGAGTTTTGGGTTTGACCAATTTGTAAAAAAAACAAAAAAACTAATTAAGACATGCGTGTCCATCAACCTTAAACAATAATCTTTGTCAATTTTATTTTTCAGTCTTTATGATGGTCGATACTTGATCTATCTCTTACTGTTACATTCCCAGGCAATGCTGGGCTCTACTGCTAGTCTACTCTAAGTTTAATATGTCCAACAAAGTAGAACTGGCAACTTTTCTCAAAAATGACCTCTAATCAATTGTTAACTTGGGCAAGGAGTAGCTCGTAAATATGAACATCTCAAAAATGAAACTGATATCTTTTAATCATTATAGAGAGCATTTTTCCCAGCCAACAGCATGGCTGATGCTAGCCTCCAGGAGAGCAACTCATTGCACATTCCTGACATGAAATGGAATGCTTATATTGAATCAATTGCTAGATCTTCTGCCAGAAATGTTGGTTCACTGTGTTGTGCCAGACATTCTTTCTCGACAGAATCCATCTCGGACATTTATATATCTAACATTTGTCCGTGTATTGAATACTGCTGTCATATCTGATCTTGTGGCCTTATCATATAATTTTTGACAAAATTCTAAGAAGGGTCTGTAATGTTAGCGCTCCTGACTTGACTTGGTATCTCGGCTTGAGTCACTTTCCAATCTCTTTCAAATAGCCAGTGCTGGCCCTAGAGCTGTTGGCACCCTGGCCAAATTGAACTTCAGTGCCCTTTCAAGTATAATGTTTTTAAATTTTCACAAGGAGAAAAAAGTGAAAATGTAGAATAACGTGTCTATTACAATATACGACTTAATACAAGCTAAAGAAAGCATTCATTATCCTATCTAAAACATTTTTTCTAGCCTTTAGATCTTCAAATCTTTTCATGGCACTTTCTATATCGATCTACTTTACAAGATCATTTTCTATTAACAAAATAGCCAAAGAATTTAATCTGTCATGGATGACTGCAAGTAAGTTTTTATAAACTTTAGTTTTGGAAGATCCCAAACACATGCCATGGGGGCATGATGCAGGGTCAGATTAGGATCTTGAATCCCACCCCAAACTTTGATACCCCCCCACACACTACATGGCAATTTCAAAGTTTCCCAACCTGGAGGCCACAAATCCTCGAAGGAAAATTGATAGAGAAGGGCAGCACATTTTTTAAATTACCAAAAATCTGGGGATTATTTCAACTGAAATTAAAATTTCAGTACATTTTCATTATTTACTTTTATAATAAATAGTTTTTTTTCTATTTTAAAAAATCTAAGAAAACGTTATTTTTTTTTAATAACCACCAATATTTTCATAACTAAATTTTACTCGGAAAAATGTCTAAGTCGCAAATTTTTACATTTCCATAAAGATTAATTGCTGATGCATCTCTGCTGAAAAAAAGTTTTACAAAGATTCCAACACAAGACAAACATCTTAAAAATTTTTTATAAAAACAGTATTTCAGTTTTCGGGGAAATTTTTCATGTGTTGAAATCTTTAAACATTTTTATTTTTTAAGTTATCATTTTCTCAGTTTTCTCTTTCTAGAAATGTAAAAAATAGGGACTAGAAATTTTATTTTAATTACTAGCCGTGGACTTCTGGTTAGTATTACTATTAGTAAAAAAAAAAAAAAAAAAAAAAAAATATATATATCAGGTATCCTCCTTACTGGATGATCTTGGAATAAAAAATGATTTTACCAAATATATTACACTTTTAATTGATTTAAAAGAACTATTCATAAAGAAAATTACAATTAAAAAAAATAAGTGCTACTGAAATTAGCACGTCAGTTCCCTCCCCTCCCGAGTAGGCATGGGGCCCCCACATGGTTGAGAGGTTTGGAGTAGTAAGCACCAGCTCTGTTGATTATTATAGTTGATGATTGACTTAGGAAGAAAACAAGTAAAAAGTGCAAAAAGAAATGCTGCTGAAACTATCCCTTTTGGGGCTTCAAACTCATTGGGGCGGGTTCTTGTGTGGTACATGCCACACCAGCCATGCAGATACACAAAAAAAAAGCTGCTGAAACTAGCCCTTTTGGGTCTCCAATCTTGTTGGGGGTTCCTGCGTGCTATGCACTGCAATGGCCATGCAGATACATGATGTATATTATTAGTTAATGTCAATTTAAAAATAATTAAAAAAACGGCAGATGGCCATAAAACAGTGATAAAAAAAAATGGCAGAGGTCACAACTGGACCACAAAAGTTAGTATTTAACTTAGAGTGTGTTTGGATCAATGCATATATATATATATATATACATATATATGCATTGATCCAAACACACCTAAGTCAATCATCAACTATATATATATATATATATATTGTAAAAAAGAAAAAATATATATTATTTATATATCTATATATATATATATATATGAACTTCAGTGCCCTTTCAAGTATAATGTTTTATATTGGATAAATATATATATATATATATATATATATATATATATAATATGATAAAATACCATTTTAAAGTATGAT